TGTGTGTGTGTGTGTGCAGGGCGTGTCTTCCGCACGCTGCTCGCCTGCCCGTCCTATGCCCGGGAGAGTAATTATAGCTTCATGGGAAGAGTCCTTGTCCCTGCAGCTTCCTGGCTCTCATTCCAGCAGGAGGACCTGTCGGCACCAGGGACGGGGCTGGGAGCACCAGCCTCCACTGTAGTGTGTAGTCTTTCCTGTTTTTTCAAAGGGGTCAAATGTTTCCACATACCACTTGTGTACCGTGAAGTAGGTAGGGCAAACGTGTCTTTCCCTTTAAACATTAGGGACGGAGCAGTGACTTCTCAGAGTGTGTGGAGGGAGACCGGTCCAGCACTGAATCGCAGGTCTTCTCATCTGATGTACATCTGAGGTGGTAATGATTTTATTTAACTGTATTAAAAAAGTGTGGAAAGGAACAAGGAAGAGGAAGGAAATCCAGGTTTTTACAGAAGGCAAGGTGTGGCTCTTGACTACATACTGATTACTCCTGTTTGTGTTGACTTTTGATAACTCAAGAAGGAAACACGTGGGCTGAATCACAACCTCGTTACATAAAAGGCTCACACCTCAGATAACTTTCGCATGCGTAAGGGGCAGAATAATTGAAAGCGCAGTGAGTAATTGTTACATTAGAACTACTAGACAAATACTTGTTCTTTCAAAATCTGGAATTGCGTTCAGCACGTTGAATACGTCTTAATATAAAGGATGGGTTCATATTTTAAAGCATGATTGAATTTTTTTTTTTTTAACAAACTGTCTTCACTGTATTTTGAGGTCCTTTATAGATCTCAATGATTTTTATAGTTTTCAGGATGCAGAAGGTAGTCTAGTGGATTTTTTAAAAATTTAATTTAATTTTTTTATTTTAATTATTTTTATTAATATTTTTGCTACAGATTTTTCTCCTTTTTCCCCATTGACACCCTCCTCCCTATTCCCCCACCCGGTCCCCAGCATTGTTATCCGTGTCCATTGGTTACACATACATACATATAAGTTCTGTGGTTTATCTCTTTCCTCTTCCCCACCCCCTCTTCAGAGGTTTGTCAGTCTGAACCCTACTTCTATGTCTCTGGGTCTATTTTGTTCATCAGTTTGTTTAGTTCATTATATTCCACAAATAAGTGAGATCATTTGATATTTGTCTTTCTCTGCTTGGCTTGTTGCATTTAGGATAATACTCTCCAGGTCCCTCCATGTTATCTCAAAGGATAAGAGATCTTTCTTTCTTACAGCAGCATAGTACTCCATTGTGTATATGTACCACAGCTTTTTTATACATTCATCTACTGATGGGCTCTTGGGCTGTTTCCAGATCTTAGCGATTGTAAATAGTGTTGCTATGAACATAGGGGTAAGTCTAGTGGATTTTTATAATGAGGTGACCCATCTGGCAACATGGTCCTTGTTTGCAAAGATGACACTCTGTCTTCATTCTACAGATGGAGAGTAATAGCTAAGTATGCTAGCTAACATTTGCGAATGCTCCTCCAGAGTCCGGCAAGTGCTGACTGTGTCATACGCATGATCTCATTTAGTTCTCAGAGCAGCTGTGGGATAGATACTTGGTCTCTCCATTGCACAGGTGGAAGAGTTAAGAGGTTAAGCATCTTGTTCAGAGTTACAGGAAATGGCAGAGCCGGGACTCACAGGCTCCAGAGCCTGGACCAGGCCTCACCCTGCGATGGCAGATGCTAGGTGGTGTGTTTCTCAAGGTATGTGGCCCAGGCAGCTAGTATAGACTGAAAAGTCCTGCTGTAAGTTTATCTTCTCTTTTTTGGCTTGAAACTTTTAGAAAATTGTTTTTGTCTTTGTTCCTTAGGAGAGATGAGTTTACATGTATATGGCTCTGTAAGCTGCTGATTAAGAATTGTATGTTAGCCCTGGCTGGTGTGGCTCAGTGGTTGAGCATCAATCCATGCACCAAGAGGTCGCTGGTTTGATTCTCAGTCAGGGCACATGTCCAGGTCGTGGGCCCAATCCCCAGTGGGGGGCATGCAGGAGGCGGCCAGTTGATGTTCTCTCTCATCGATATTTCTATCTCTCTCTCCTTCTTCCTTCTTCTCTCTCTAAAATCAATAAAGAAATTTAAAGCATATTAATTTCTATATCTATGACACAAGAAACACCTGTGGCGTTACAGACTATAAATAATAAAAAAATATTAAAATTAGTGATAATTCTACCACTTAGGAATAATTATTTCATATTTATTTATATAATGTGTACTTAGAATTATAGTAAAAAATACTGATGTATTATTTCATAAATTGCTTTATAATTAATATATTAAGGATTCTTTACAAGTAAGTCTACTTTGATGACATGAGTTTAAATTTCATGTAGCTTTCTGTTTTACGGTCAGAGCACCATGTAACCAATTTCTTACTGTTGGGTATTCAGGATGTTTGTAACTGTGGCCGTGAAGCAATTCCTCTGCTTCTGTCTTTGTGTTCTTGTTTCGTTGCCTTAGTTTCAATCCCTGCATCTGTACATAGTATGTCTAAAAGGAAGCATATTTAACACTTCAGATACCTATCCCAATTGCCTTCTAGAACTGTGGTATTATTTTCTGTAACTTTGGTATTCTACAGAGCATGCCAGATTCTTACGTCCTCACAATATAGGCTATTATTTAAAAATCTTTGTTTACTTTTTATAGTTTTTATAAAGACAGTATTAATAGGATTTGGTGTATTACGATAATTATTTAGATTTTGGTATGTATATATGTACAAGAGTACATTAATATTTTGATATCTGGAGGAGAGTAGTCTGAAATCTATGACTTTAACTGTATAGTTTTGTGGAGGAAAGTGAAACTTTCTGGATAGTTGGATTTTCTGAAGAACTCTGTATGTTTTATTATTTCTATTTTATTAATGAATATCCTGAATATAATTCAGCTTGTCTATATGGTACAGAGGCATTCCTTTGAGGGTTAATCATTGGAGTGTGTCATTGGAGTGTTACCTTGAAGGTCAATGCATGGAATGAGGCTAAGCATATACTGCTGTTAACTACCCTCAGGTATTTGATTGCACAGCATCTTGGCCTTTACAAGCTAATAAATGTGATATGTTCCCTGCTTCAGATGAATAGACTGGAGTTCAGATAGGTTAGTTAACTTGCTTAGATCACACAGCTATCAGGTGGTGACAGTGGAATCTGAATATGCTTTTGACTGAGTTGAGCCCTTTCTCTTTCCAAATTGGCGCTTTGCTGCACTCTGCCCTCTTGACTGGTCCAGCGTTGTTGACTGTCAGTCTTGCCTGCTCTCCATGTGTTTGTAGGGCACGGCCCTTTTCTTCCAAACGCTGCTCTCATCTACTTTGATTTGGAAACATAATTGCCGGATTGTTTCACAGGAGGACAATTAAGTATTAGTGGCTCAGAGCGGCTTTCTTCTGATGGGAGGAAATGGACTTTGATATGTGCTTTGATGCTCCTGGGACTTTTTATGGGTTTTGGCTTTGGATAGGAGTTCCCAGGTAAATGAGTTATAAAACATTAAATGAGATAATGTTTCCACTAGTTGGCATCAATACTCGTCTTGCCTTTGTATTGGATCTATTTGGGGACAATAGAAGGAGTTTGTGCAACACAGGTTACTTGGGATAATCCATGGGCCACTCAAGGTTATGTCCCCCAAAATGTACCATTCTGTTTGGTTTTACAGTGTGTTTAAACTTTGTGTTTTAAGTGGCTGTGAATTCTTGAGGGAGGAGCTGTCTTTTTTTTTTTTTAAGATCTCCATCCAGGATGCAGGTTCAGTGACCACAGCAGGACACTCAGCAGATGTTTAGTTCATGCAGCAGGGCGGCCCCCCTGCAGATGCACGCCGAGTGCAGGAAAGGGTCCTCTCGTCCCTGACCCCTGTGTGTCACCTCCTGGCCTTGGCTCCGGTCCCTGTGTATAGAACCAACTCACGAGAAACTAACTTGGATTCTAAAATTAACCATTGTTTCGTCAGTTAGCAGATAGTGTGTCCAGCTATAGCTATGCCGGGCCTTGTGGAAAAGATGCAGAAGGCATAGGGATTCCAGATGGACGGTACAGCTAGCTGTCGTGAGGGGGCTGGGCGAGACACTGTGCTGACCTGGGATTTCAGATGAATTACTTCCCAAATCAGGTTTCCAAGATCGCGTTTCTTCCTGAAGTGACAGGTGGAGGAACAAGGATTCCTGCTGGCAGGGGGTGGGGGGACGGCTCCCGCCCGCACCCAGTCCCAAGAGTTGTTTTTGGAGCAGTCTTTTCCCCACTGTCTTCTCTGCCACTGTTTCCCTTGTGGAACCCCCTTCCCTGCCATCTACTGTACCCTCAGACTCTGGAGAGATTTTTCCAGCAGTTACACTGAGAACGTTGGTGGTGGTAACCTTAGGCAGCCAGTTCATATATAAGAACCTTAAGTGGGGCATTGTCTGCTTGAAATTCTTACCGTCTGCTCTCTCTGCCTTTGTCTCTCTATCAGGATTTAACAGTCATCTCCCTACGATGTTTCAGGAAATAGCTCTTTACACAAATCCAGGCCCTTTCATGAATACATTTATGGAGAGTCATGCCCTCTGCTATTCATCTTTGTAGTGAAGTTTGAGAAATTGAAGGCTGGAATTGAAATTAATTTTGTGTATACATAGTTGATATTTCAAGCTTATTTCTTAAACTGTTTTTATTTACACTTAGTGGAATAGATCGCCCATAGGTTTTTTAATACAAAATATATTTGAAGTTTAGCTTCTAACTTTTGTTATCCATAAAATGGTTATATTATAGAAAATGCTCATTGTGATTTTTTTTTCTGTTTACATTTTTTCATACTAAAATGGTTAACCTCTCTGTAACATAAAACCACATGTAATTTGTTATGTGGAACAACTTTTGAAATATACATATCCTTCAACTATAACATTAGATGCATATTAATTAATCTGGTAATTAATTTTACTTGTGTATTATTCCTGTTTAAAATAAAATTAATACCCAAATCTGTCTTTCAGGCAGTAACAGAGAAGAATTTTGAAACAAAGGATTTTCGAGCCTCTCTAGAGAATGGTGTTCTGTTGTGTGAGTAAGTATTTAAAGCGCTTAAAAATAATTTAAAAGCAAAGGGGTGTGTGTGTGTGTGTGTTAGTGTGTGTTATGAAGTATCTTCACTCCTCTCTCCACGGCTACCACAGTCATCGATGTTTTCTTGGTAACAAGTGAGATTTGATCCCTGCAAATTGACACCTCACAGTACCAGATAGTAGGAAGGGGTTATCAGTCTCTGTATCTAAAGATAGCATTGGTGAAATATATATTATTTTTAAATTAGTAAACAAGATAGATTCTATTATTGCTTAATGGGCCAGTAGGGGCGAGTGGTCGAGGAGAAAGCCTTATTACATCGCATCAGCTATCGCTCACTCTGATTACTCTAATGTATGGACTTGCCTGGATTAGAAGTTTATATAGAACTTTTTGTCCTTTATCAAAAAATAGTGATGATTGTAGAACAAATGTAAGCAGTAGCAAATTTTTCCTTTAAGCTATAAGTGAAATCATTACATTACCACAATCAATTTGAGTCATGGGCCATTCATTTAATTAATATATTACATCCCAGGCTTTGGTCATCTTTACATAAAACAGCCTTGTGCCATGACTGATGGTATGAGGCCTACACTGTATATTTAGGGTAATGGTTTGTTCTTCGATGGATGTGTGGTACGGTTAGCCAGGTATGCAGCCTTTAGGGCCGAGGGGCAGGCGGGCCTGTGGTCGGAAGTAGGTCGAAGGTGGGAGGGTACAGGTGCAGAAGTGAGCCAATAAATGATAAGAATGTATTGAGTATGCACTCACATTTTTGAAAGCGCTTAAGTGTTCCAATCTAGACACTTACTGCATAGGTATTCGTGGAGTCTGTCCACAAGTAAGCACCAGCATGTATGTGCTTGTATTTAGACGGTTTTCGTTATCCTCCTAAAGAAAGGCTGTTTGCAGCAAAGGGAAGGAGTCAAAGGGCGTCGATTGGATTCCTTACTCCATTACTATTGGACACGTGAGCAAGTGACTTAGCATCTGAGCTGTAGTTTCTCACCTTTAAGGTGGAGGTCAGGGTATCTGATCTGTCTACTTCAATAAGACATGTGGAACTTCATAGATTTTTATAAAGCATCAAACTTTGTAGAAATACAGGTTGTTGCTGGGAAGATGGCCGTGTAGATAATAATCTCATTTTATCACCTGTTGATAGGTGTTGAAACTTCTTTAGAGCAATATTAGTTGCTCTAAAGTTGAGCCCTATCCAGTAGTTGCGATTCAACTATCTGTGACCTGCAGAAATGTCAACTTCATGTGGTCCCAGCTAGTATGTTGTGGGACAAACACATGAAGAAGGGCCACAGGAATGTTTCAGGAGTATATCTTAACCTCTACTGATGTCACCTTCCGAATTGTAATTGCCAAATAGTGTTTAAACTAATTTTAGTAGGTGATGTGGTCAGCCCAATTAGTCACTGATAGGAAATTACTTTATCTTGATTTGAAAACTATATGGTTTAGCCTGGCCAGTGTGGCTCAGTGTTGGGCATCGACCGATGCACCAAGAGGTTGCTGGTTCGATTCCTGGTCAGGGCACATGCCCAGGCTGTGGGCCTGATCCCCATTGGGGGGCATGCAGGAGGCGGCCAGTCGATGTTCTCTCTCTTCGATGTTTCTATCTCTCTTTTCTTCTCTCTTCCTCTCTCTCTAAAATCAAAAAAATTTTTTTTTTTTTTTTTTTTAGAAAACTATATGATTTAAATGTGTTGTATTGTGTTCAGAAGATGGAAGGACAAAAATGACTGTTAGAGAGACGCGTGTGATCTGAAAACTTCTGTTCTATGAGTATAGACCAGCGGTTTCCAGCCCTTTTCATCTCACGGCACACAAATTAGTTACTAAAAGTCTGTGGCACACCAAAAAATATATTTTTTGATGATTTGACAAAAAAAGGTCTCATTGTGATTCGTTCACACAGAATGACTATTGTTGTGTTGGCTGTTGTCATTTTTTTATTTGGCAATCTAAGGGAAAAGGGGTCAGTGCCCCTGACCAAAGAGTCAGGTATTGCATGTTTTAAAAATTCTTGTGATGCACCTGTTGAAAATTGCTGGTCTAGACCATTTAGTGGTTTACAGCCAGATAACTGTGATGTCAATTGTAAGCCCCACAAGTCAGGATAGGAGTTAGATAGGTTTATGTAGGAAGTATGCCTCTGAGATAGGAAATTGTTTCAGACATAGGAGAGCATATAGCCCCAAAGGGCGATCTTTTCAAAGAGGTTACTTTGTGGTTATATACTTACAGTGATGAACTATTACTCAAGACATTTTGGGGGGAATTCCCCCCTTTTGGGACATTGCTTCCATAACTAGGTCATTAAATATACTTGATAGTGACATTTAGTTTTTTATTTGAAATGCAGTTTATGCACCAGCCTGGGGTCTGAGTGACTTGAGGTGACTTCTGAAAACTATATCCAACCTATTACCAGTGAGAACATTCAGAGTTGATGAAAAACCATCCTGACCACAAGCAGTACTGTTAGAATAAATATACAAGTTCTACCTTAATGATCACAGCAAACATCCGGATGAATGTTTAGAGGTATATTGGTTTTTGACCTGGAGAGCATTAGCTAAGTGAAATAAGCCAGTCAGAGAAAGACAAGTATCACATGATTTTACTCATATGGAATCTAATGAATGAAATGAACTAACAAGCAAATTAGAGACAGTCTCATAGGTAGAGAGCTGGCTGACAGCTGGGGTGGGGGGTGGCGTTTGTGGGGCTGGTGGAACAAATGAGCAAAAAAGAAAAAAAAAGAGAAAAACCTCACGGACATGGAAAACAGTGTGGTGATTGCCTGGGAAAGGGCGGGGGGTGTGGCGGAGGGTATAGAGGAGATAAATGGTGATGGAAGGAGACTTGGGGTGGTGCACACACAATACAGTGTACGGATGATATGCTGTGGAATTGTGTACTTGAAATTCTGTATAATTTCGTTAACCAGTGTCACTTCAATAAATTCAATTTAAAAAAGTCACTTTAATTCACAACTTCCAAAAGCTCATTCTTAGATTGTTTCCTAATTGGAATAACACCAATATGGGGTATGTGCATTACCATATAAGTCTATTCAGTCTGTTTAGTACCTAGTATTCTTTAAATGAATGTTTCCCCAAAGTAGCGTAAGTAAGCATTAAGCTGTGGTAATCAGCAACTGTAGTTTCTCTGGGACCCCAAAGTACTGTACGATGTTTGCATTAAAAAAATCTCTCTTAATTGTGAACCACGTTTATAGCCATTGGTTAATGAAGGCATATTCATCTAGAAGGTGTAGTGTTGGAAAAAGTCCAGGTAACTATATTCTGTATAAATCTGAAACTGAAGAAAGCCTACTTAGTTGGTCTGTTAGCAGGCACCTCTGTTTCATCCTGGCCACCGGAGCTGTCATGCCTACAAGGGAAGCAAAATCGGTTGTTCAGAAGCTTGGTGTTAAAAGCCCAGACTTTTGCCCTGGCCAGTTTTGCTCAGTGGTTAGAGCATCGGCCCACGGACCAAAACACCAAAGAGTCACGGGTTCAATTCTGGTCAAGGGCACACACCTTGGTTGCGGTTCATCCCTGGCCCTGGTTGGGGTCGTGCAGGAGGCAACCAGTTGATGTGTCCCTCTCAGGTCGATGTTTCTCTCTCCCTCTTTCCCTCCCTCCCACTCTATCTGAAGATAAATAGAAAAATATTCTTGGGTAAGGATTAAAAAAATGAGCCTAGACGTTTAAATTAATGGTAAATATTATAATCTGTATGTCTTTGAGATTATTTTACCCATAAGAGATCCCAAGTTTTAGCTGAAATAGGATTAGGATATTTAAAAACATCTGAATTTAGTTTCTTATAGGAAAAGGTTGACTTCGGTTTGGTTTACTACCAGAAAAACGACCAATTCCTGTGAAATAGAGGGTTTGCTTTTTTGCCTATTAAGACTCTCTGTGCATCCTCGTTCATTATCACCATTAAAGAGTTTTATTTTATTTAGTAATCTCAGCAGTCTTTTATCTTTTACTGATAGTTTACCCCTGTGAACTGGCATTCTGAAATGTCAAAGTGAAGAGTTGGAAGAAGTGAGCTTGTTATAGCTGTCACCCAGATGGCAGTGTCCTGGTGTTTCCCATAAATTGTGTGTCAGCTCGGGGCTGAGGTTTCAGACAAGATACACATCTGAGGAATGAGGATATCATGTGCATTTATTGCCTTTTAATCCGATTGACTATTGAAGTTAGTATCTTCTGTTAATCATTTCAGTATCATTTTGTTTGATTGACCGTAGGATCTAATGAGCTGAAGGCTAAAGAATACCCTTGAGGTTCAAGTCTGTTGTAGTAATTCTCTTACTGTATATCTTAGACATGTAATCTCTCTTGGCTTTACTAAACAGTGAGATGGGGACAAGAGCTAATTTTTTTTTTTTTCTAAATAGTAAAAGGACTGACAAGAGTCTATAAGTTGATTTTCGCTCCTCATTATAATTTTCTATGAATTTTATTAATAGCATGCATTAGTATGTCTCTTTTTAAAAAATATGTTTTTAATTGATTTTTTTTTTTTTTTTTTTTGAGAGAGAGGATGGTAGAGAGAGATAGAAACATCAATGTGAGAGGGAAACATTGATCGGCTGCCTCCTGCATGTCCCCTACTGGGGATCAAGCCCACAACTTGGGCATGTACCCTGACTGGGAATCAAACCCAGACCTCTCAGTTTATGGAATGATGCCCAATCCACTGAGCCACACCACCTGGGCCATTAGTATGTCTCTTACCTTTCTCATTATTTATTAGTGTTCATGAGGCCTACCTTACTATATATTTAAAAGATATGCACTTTGCCACTATCCAAATATCCTCTTTTGTTCTGTGGTTCTAGCAGAATTATTTCTCTTTGCTAAACATATTTAGTGGCATACCCAGTGAGTGATATGAGTTAATAATTTCAGTGACTCATCTTATGATAGCAATCTTGAAAATTATCAAATGAAAACATTGTTT